TTAAAAAAAAAAAAAAAAAGAAAAGGGTTGCTCCCAGAACAGCCTCCCCTCCCTGTGACTCCCGTGACTCCCCCGCACCCACCCCAGGCTGGCTGGGCAATCTCACTCAGCCCAGCTCATCCTTGCATTTGGACTAGCCTCTGACCCCCCAGGTGAGCAATCAGTGATCCAAGGTCTTCACTTGGTGAATAATCCATTGAGATTCCAGAGGTTTGGGAGACCTGGAGATTTCCCTAAATGGGATTCCCCCCTCCACCCCACTTCCAGCACAGACTTCTAGTTGCCTAGCAACTGGAGGAGGTGATCTGGGAAATCTGGAGCTTACTCCACGGCCCCCTGTGCTATGATGAGCTCGGTGTGGCCCACCTAGGGGAGGGAATGCGCTGCAGCTGATAATTATCAGGGGTAACAACCATAATCCCAGACCTGCTATTATTACTGTGTTTACCAAGGAGCAATTGCTCCAGAAGCTTGCACCACTGGCCTTTCCCAGGCCCTCACCCTTCCCGCCCTGTGCTGACTAAGGGAGTAGAAATAGCCTCAGGCTGTTCCCAGGAGTAGAAGCCACAGCCTCAGAGTGCCCCAGGGCGTTCTGACACCGGTTCTGCCACTTAAGCTGCTCCCCAAAGCCGTGAGTGGCCCCCAAAGAAGCCAGAGGAAGGATGTGAGTGAGGTTCTGGGCACACACCCCTGACCTGCGTGGGGGCAGCGAGCACCCAGAGCCAAGAGAACCAGGGATGATGTTTGGGACACAGGAGGGCTGGTCTTGTTAAGGGAATGCTGGGCTCTTTTTCTTTCCTGAAGCCAGGGGTCTGCTCTCTGCCTTCCCTTCTGAGTGGCCCACTCAAGGCCAGCTAAGGATGAGGAAAAGAGGTGGAGTTGAGAATGTTAAGCCCGCCCTCCAGCCCCATCCGCTGCCCCGTCTTGTCTCCATGTCTCCTCCGGCTTTGACAGTTGGGGTGGGAAAGAGTCAAAGCGAATTCCATCCATGTCGTGACGCCAGTGAGGAAGGAGGACAGAAGTCTATAAAGCCAGCCCACTTGCTTCTCTCTCGGGCACTCCCTTGTTTTGTTTATGAGCTGTCAACCTAAGCTTCGTGGTTGAAAAAAACACCCTGACTTTCAGCAAATTTTCTGAGAATGACCTGTCACCCTTCCAGAAAGCCTTCCAACTCTTCCTTCTGTCTGCATCCTCTACCCCCTTGGTCCTCAATCCTGGCTCTAGTGATCATAGCCTAATGTGTCCCACCTCTTTCCTTTGGCTTCTTTCCCTCCACGAGGCAAAGTCCAGAACATCGTGGAGCCTGCCTGGGAATGAAGACAATGAGGACCAACAAATCAAAGTCCTGGAATCTTAGACTGTTAAATTTTGGCATGACATTAGATATAATCTAACCTAATGTTCCCATTTTACAGATGAGGAAACTGACACCCAGGGAGGGAACGTGGCTGACCCAGGGACACACTGCTGGTGAGTGGTCATACTGAAGCTGGAGTCCAGACTTCCAGACTTCTACTCCATTGTTCTTTCCAGCACACCCACCTGCCCCTCAGTTCTGTTTGCACTTGGGGTTCAGATCTCAGAAAGCTAGTTTAAAGATATTACTTATTTTTTTGAGGGGGAGGGGCAGAGGGAGAGGGAGAAGCAGGCTCCCCGCTGAGCAGGGAGCCCGATGCCGACTCGATCCCAGGACCCTGGGATCATGACCTGAGCCGAAGGCAGATGCTTCACCAACTGAGCCACCCCAGCACCCAGAAACATAGATTTTTAAAAAACAAAAACCTAGCATTGTAGGGTTAGATACCAAACATTTTGAACTTATCAAAAAGTTTTACAAGGGTTTTATTCTGTCCTCAAAGCATTATTTTCAGGTAAATGAAGTTGATAATGTTACTCTCATTGTATGGATAAGAGTGTAGTTTGTATAGAGTTTCCCAAAACTGAGGCCAGAAAGAGTTGCCCTGAGTCACAACAGAGATGTGTCAAAGTGGGCAGAAGAGTGCCTGTGTCCTGACTCTTTATCCAGTGCTCATTCCACTGTACTCCATGTGTCCGTAAATAAGGCACTGTCACCCGACTAATCAAAGTAACCAGATGAAACTGTCACAGGGGCCCCTTCCAGGGAGGACTGACCACACAGCTAGAACCACCACCGCATTCTAATTCTGAGCTAACGTGCTCCCTCCTGCAAGTCACTGGTTCCCTGAACTTCGTCCTGGAGGAGAAGCCCTTTCCCCCTCTCCCCCTCCCCACCCTTCTTTGAGCCAAGCCCTCGGGAGAAGAGCACGTCCACTGTGATTCCCAGGCCCGGTGGAGAAACGGTGGTGAGAAGTGCCCGCTCAGCACTCCTGGATACCTCCGAGGCTGCTGTCAGTGGGCGGTGGCCTCCAGCACCTTCTGCCAGCTTGGGGGGATGCTCGCCAGGAAGCCCAGCTTGTTGGGGCAGTTACCTGCCCCTGCCTCAGCCTCCTTGCTCAGGACAGGCGTTTCTCTGCTCAGACTCTTGTAGGTATGGTGATAAAGCAGGGGTGCTCAAACTTCAGAAGCCATCTCAGGGGGCACCTGGGTGGCTCAGTTGTTAAGCGTCTGCCTTCGGCTTAGGTCATGGTCCCGGGGTGCTGGGATCGAGCCCCGCATCGGGCTCCCTGCTCAGTGGGGAGCCTGCTTCTCCCTCTCCCACTCCCGCTGCTTCTGTTCCCTCTCTTGCTGTGTCTGTCTCCGTCAACTAAAAAAAAAAAAACAAAAAAAAAAAAAAAAAAAAAAAAAAGAACGCATCTCAGGATGGGGCAGATAAGCACAGATTGCTGAGCCCGCTCCTGAGCGTTTCTGATTCGGCAGTTCTGGGCTGAGCCTGGGAATCTGCATTTCAAGTTCCCAAGTACCGCTGCTGCTGCTGGTCCAGAAGTCACACTTTGAGAACCACTGTGATAAAGGACACGGCTCAGGCAATCGGTGGTCACCTGCCCAGGGCTGGGGTGTGGGGAGGGTCCAAGAGCGTGGGAAGGAGGGTTGGGGCTGGGAAGGAGTCTGACCGAAGACCAGCCCCGGGGACTGAAGTTTAGCATGAGCAAGTGGCGTATGCATGTGTGGCTATTTAGATGCTCATCCCCAGATGCATGTAGCAATGTGGGATGGGAGGCCGAGAAGAAAGGCTCTGGCAACTCAGTGGATGATTCTCTCACTGTTTTTGCTGCCGCTCTCCCCTCCACGCTCAGCTGCTGCCCTCCAGAGAAAGTTCCCCGAGCTTTGGCCCGCTGCTGCCTCACAGGCAGTATGGGGGAGGGGGGAAGGGGGCAAAGCCATGGGTCTCTAGGTGTACCTGCCTTGGCAGCACAGAGACCTCAGGGCAGGACACAGGGAGTCGCTCAGAGAGCGGTGACTGCTGACTTGCTGGCCAGATGGGAACAGGACCCAGACGGACCACTGAAGAGGGAGGTGCCTGGTAGTGACAGGGAGAAGGCAGAGGCAGCACAGCCCAGCCCCTGCTGCTGTCCACTAGGAACTGCCCCCTCCCCTCCTGGCCTCCTTCAGCGGGCCCAGCCAGGGCCAGACGTCTGCCATGTTTCTACGAGGGCAGGAATCTACCCCCTTGGGAGGTGGAAGCGGGCAGGGGCGCTCTGGGAGAAGGGGCCACGTCTGTGGTGGGCTTCAGACTTTGATCCTGGCCCCAACTTCCTGTCTCCCCTGTTCTCTGGGGGCCAGGAGGCCGGGAGAAGAGAGGAAAAACAGTCCCTCTGCAAATGGGTGAACGTGGGTGCTCAGAGCATAAGACTGCCAGGGACAGTGGAAAGCAGGGGCCTTACAGCTCAAAGAAGTAATCACTAGAAGCCAAGAAGACTGACCTAGCCCTCCTGAGTCATTTCCCAAAGAGCTTCCCGGTCACCAATGGGCTTACTGTGCCCAGAACCTGCCTTATCTGTAGGTTGAGGAGGCATATAGTATCTAATTTAAGGGGGAGCCAGGCAGATGACATCCCCCCAGATCTCTCTCCCATCACCAACAATAAGCCAGAAATCCGTTTTCTTTGCTTTGGGACTTAAAGCTGTTTTGGAGGGGGGGCATGGGGGGGATGGGGCCAGAAACATAAAAACTCTGGGATTCTTCTTGGCAGCAAAAGGATGCCACGTGGGAGAAGATGTGGGGTGGACAGGAAAACAAGTGGGGGACAGAAAGAGAACTTGACCCCACCCCACCCTGCCCCCCACAGGGAGGCCCTGTACATGTGGCCTCATACTCGTGCCAGACGAGCATCTCAGACATGCCCCCCCCACCGCCCCGGCCCTGTGAGCAATGTGTTTGGCCTCCTCCCCGCCTCCACACCCTCGCCTCTTCCCGCCTCCCACCTGTCAGGCGTGTTGCAAGACTGCCTTGACCAATGTTTACATAATGCTCCAAAGGAGAATGAACCGGTTGCCAAATGCCTGAGTCATCTGGTGCAGTCACCCTTTGGTCCTCTGGTGTGGCCTTCCCACCGGAGTGAGGGTCACACTCCGCAACAGTTCTTCACAAGGCCTCACCAACTAGGAGGCCCAGCAGGCTTCCTAGACCTGCCTTTTTACAAAGACAGGCGGTAGGAAGAGAAAGAAACTATTAGTGAGTCCCTAATATATGAGGGACTGAAGCAGACACTCTCACATATATCACATTACCAAATGTCACAAACCTGGTGTGGCTTTATGATACCCATTTCCCAGCTGAGGCAACAGAAGCAGACAGGTCAAATGGTTTGACCCAAAGACAGAGCTAGTTAGTAGCAGGAGCCAGGAGTGAAACCTGGTCGTCTTTACCTGGGTTCCCTAAAAAGCAGAGCCTGAGGAGCGCCTGGCTGGCTTAGTCGCTAGAGCGTGCGACTCTTGATCTCAGGGTCATGAGTTCAAGCCCCACATTGGGGGTAGAGTTTACCTAAAAAAAATTCTTTTTTAAAAAAAGAAAATGGCAGAGTCTGAGACAGAGGCTTATATGTGAGTAGTGCACCTGGGTATGTGACCCTGGAAGGCAGAAACAGGGAAGGAGAGGGAGCCTACACAGTGGGGAACAATGAAGCTGTCCATAAGGGCCAGCTGTTTGACCCGTCCTGTGGGGCCATCTGAGGATACTCTGAAACATCGCAGGATCAGGGGCGCCTGGGGGGCTCAGATGGTTAAGCGGCTGCCTTCGGCTCAGGTCCTGATCCCGGGTCCTGGGATCCAGCCCTGCGTTGTCATCGTCCGGCTCCCAGCTCAGCGGGGAGCCTCCTTCTCCCTCTCCCTCTGCTCCCTGGCTCCTGCTCTCTCTATCTCGAATAAATAAATAAAATCTTAAAAAAAAAAAAAAAGAAAGAAAGAAACATCACAAGATCATTCACGACGAAGAAAGGGAGAAAGCATTTAGGCGCTGGCCGCAGTTGCCCATGTCAGCCCCTCTGTATTGCTGACTTGCCCACACCAGCCCAGAGGTGGCCAGGGCAGCAGACACTGGAAGCAGAGTCCAGGCAGCAAAGACCCGACGTGGTGCCTACGGGCGGTGCTCTGGACACACATCCCTCCACAGCCCCACACCACCATCCCAGGTATAATAAGTAACTTATACACCATCCCTGGGGCACTGGGGGGGGGGGAAGGGCCAACATGTGGACCACAGCACGTGACTTCCAACCATTCATTCAACAGATATTTTTACAGGCCCACTATGTGCTAGACACTGGGGGTTAGCAGTGAACAAGAAAGGCAAGATCCTTGCTCTTATGGGGCTTAAATTCTGAAGCGGGGGTGGGTGGGAGGAAATACAGTTAGCCACTAAACAAATAAACCAGGGCCGATTGTGTATCAGGTACTGTGCTGAGCACCGGGAAAGCCCGGAAGGCAAGCTCTTTTTGTCAGGGAGACCCAGGAGCAAAGTACCGCAACCGAATACGAATCCGGTAACTGCTGTGATTTGGGTACGCATACTCTCCTGCAGAACACGGAGGGGTCATTTTACTCCAGACTGGGGAGGGGAGGGCATCGGGAAAGGTGCTCTGGAAAAGACGAGACACAGGCTCTTTCGAAGGCATCTCGGGAGTGGGGGAAGGGAAAGGTGCTCCAGGGAGAGGCTGAAGACAGGAATGAGTGCGTGCGCCACGCTCAGGAGAACTATGAATCCATCAGTGTGACTAGAGGGTGCTATCTACACAGGGTGGTGTCAACAGATGAGGCAGGAAATGTACCACAAAGACTTGAGTACCTAACACTGAAGCATTTGGATTTAATTCTGAAAGGGAAAGCAAGCCTCTATTTGTCCCCTAAGCCTGATTAGCTCTTGAAAGTCTCAGTCAATAACAAAGACAAAACCAAACCGTCAACACAGAGACAGGTGGAATGGCCTTGGAGTCTCAGAATGGCTGGATGTGAGCTGCCTGGCTTACATGGCAACAGCTCAGCTCTTGACCCTGGATGAAGCACAGCGGCCTCACGCCTGACCACTCTGTCCAGTGCCCCAGCCTCGAGGTCAGGTCCTCGGAAGCTGCAGAGGCCACCCTCTACCCAGCTTTTTCCGCTTCCAACTCAGCCCCGCCCCAGCCCCAGCCTCGCCTCTGGCAGGCGGAATTCCAGGGGTGTGTGACATTGAGGACCCTGAGTTTAGGTGAGGTGCCTCTGGCCCTCCTTTGGTTTGCATGAAATACTTACCAGGGCTTTCCAGCTGAACGCCACCACTGAGAGCTAAAACCAGAAAAGCAACCAGCATCTGGCCGCATCCCTCGCAGAGGCTCATCACATCCATCATCCGAGCAGGAGAAGAGCTTCCTGCAGCCCACGATTGCATCCCGCAATCCCCCTGCAGAGCCCTTGTCAAACTGAGCCTCTGGCTTCCGTTCATTCTTCAAAGCAGAGAACCCTGCGATGATCTGAATGCAGACATGAGCAAAACTCCCAGCGGCAGCCTTTCTGTCCTCAAATTCAGAACAGAGAAAATGAAATCCCGTTTCAGCACCCTCCCATCCCAGAGAGGTTCTGAGATGTCCCAGGCCTCAGCCTCAGCCTCCTTCAGCTCCCAGGGATGACGTGAAGACAGTAAAAAAAGGCTCCAAATCTAGCCCTGGTGTTTGGATTCTTCTCCCCTGACTTGTCCCTACCAACGGCAAAATTCCCTGGTCCCTGATCCCCTTCCTTCAGGGCCCTGGTCTGCACTGGGTGGCCCTTTCCCGTGCCTGCCAGTCTACTCCTTACAGCAGATGGTGACCCACAGCTACCTCATCCCCACACAGACAGCGTTTGTCCCAACGGAAGCTGCAGGCTTGAAGGAGTCGTGCTTCTGGCAGAGAGGGTGTCCTTCCCCTCCCCTCCCTGCAACGCCCCTCAAGTCACACAGTCAGGTCCTTCCGGACCTACAAGACACGGCCTCCCTGGGGCGCCTGGGTGGCTCAGTTGTTAAGCATCTGCCTTCAGCTCAGGTCATCATCTCAGGGTCCTGGGATCGAGCCCCGCATCGGGCTCCCTGCTCTGCAGGAGGCCTGCTTCTCCCTCTGCCACTCCCCCTGCTTGTGTTCTCTCTCTCGTTCTCCCTCTGTCAAATAAAAAAAATCTAAAAAAAAAAAAAAAAAGACACGGCCCCCCTGAGCGACATTCTGGGCACAAGATTCTCTTGAGTGTCCACAGTTGTGGAAGGGGGAGGCTATTCCAGGACACACACAAACCTAAACCAACAAAGCAGAGGTTTCCATCCCCAAGGATGCCAAGAACTCTAATTGAACGGACTCCCAGTTGCTCCCCTGAACAGAGAAGCAAATTAGAATCCTTGTGACCCCTCCCTTCCTCCATCCACCATCCTGCAGTGCGACCTCCACCCCACCCTGCCACTCTCCCTGGCTTCGGGGTTCTGAGAGTCCTACAGATACAGAGACTCTGCTGGGGGCCAGCGTGGGGTGGGGGTTGCCGCTGAGCCCAGGCCAGGGAAGAAGTTCTTGGGACTTAGCAGACTTCCCCTGCCAAAGATGGGAAAGAAGGATGGGCCCGTGAGCTGATTCCAGGCTGCCCTGGTGCTGGGATAGCATCATCCACAACAGCCCTGGCAAGCCCCCACCTGTTCCATCCCCAGACTCCTGGTCAGAGCCAACCAAACAGATCTGTCTCTACAAGGCTGGGACCTCTAACTGACACACCTCATCTTTTAAAAAAGACCAAGAGAGATTAAACCTCGCAGGCTCTTCTTGGATCTCAGTGACAGATTTTTCTGATTCACCTCATTACCTCCTCCTACAGGGGCCCATTCATTTCCACCTCATCTTCCTCCCGGTTCTCATTCCTGTCCCCAGCCTAGCGTATCCTGACAGGTGGGCTGCATCCTCACTCTCTGCTTTCACCCTTACAGACACTGCCCTGCTCCCTCAGCACTTCTCTCTGGATTAATAAGGTTTCTCTTTTCTGCCCCTCTCCTACAGACCAAAGCCCCAGAAATCTTTCAATCCAGCGTCTCAAGAAGAAACAAACCACCGGGCGATGTTGTAAGAGGATTTTGACCTGAGACGTAATGGGGGACAGGATCTCTCACTCTGGCCTGGAACTCTTCCTGCCTCGGTTTGCTTTGAGTGCTGGTGGTCTCCACAAAGATCTTAAACCCCACCATTCACATCTCTGAATCTCCCACAGCATCTAGCAGAGCACCAGTGTATTTATCGAAGTACATGCTTGATAAAATAACGGATGAATAGAATCCCTATAAAGCTTGAGTCATTTATTGAACACTGCCTGGATCGTGAGTATATCCCAAAATTGCAAGCTCTCGGGGTTAGAAGGGACTGTGACGTCATCAGTTCACCCCCCACCCCAGCACAGGAGCAGGTACTGCACAATTTCTGACTGATGGACCTCTAGCCTGGACTCCCTGACCATCTCCACGACCACGAATGCCTAAGGAAGCCCGGCCCCGGTCCCAGTTGAGGTCTCTGGTTAGAAGATCCTTTCTACAAGTTGCCAGAAATCTCCCCTCCCCACCGCTGCACCCCCATCCCCCTCCACACAATGACCACAAGACTGTAGAGCTTGTTCTCTGGGAGAGGGTCAGTTCCCTGAGGCACTAACTCAGTGCCCCAAGTAAGCATCCAGGGCAAATTGGCTTGCTAATGGATGGTGGTAGCAAATTCCCTCTAGAGAACCGGGTGACTAAGACGGAAGGAAAAGAAGCCAAGCCCCACAGCTCTGCCCACACTTGTCCCAAGTCCGCAGAGCCAGGTTCTCCAGCCCTTCAAACCTTCTTCCACCAATGAGACAGCAACTTCAAATCCAAAGAAACACAAAAGGATCCTGGTTCTTGGGCCCCCTTCCTGACCCTCACCCCCCATCTCGGGCCATCAGAGTGGTGTTGAGAACCCTTTCCCGCCAGAAGGACGCCTCACAGAGACAGCAAGGATGAGCTTCCCTGGGCTGAGAAAAAGGAACACCCATTCCCTCTGCCCCCTGCGCAGTGTTCAGGACACTGTTAACCGATCCAGAAGGTGGGAAGACAACAGCAGTTTAACTTTGGACTATGTTTCAGACAAGCTCTTCCAAAGCACAAATCAGTGTTGTTGTTGTTTTTTTTTTTTTTCATTCTGAGGCTTTCAAAGAACAAGACAAGGCCCCTACAGCCAGAAACCTGGCTGGTGGTCTTCTAGGCATTTGGATATTAAGTGAATGGAGATACAAAGATACACTATGTGAATAACAATCACACGACAAACCTCTTTTTAGTCTATCACCAAGCAGCTTATACCTGGGTAAGACCCACAGGCCTCACATGGACCGAAGCACTTCCTGCCTGTGTTCCTGAGACCTACAGTTTGGGCCAAGCCCAGGAAAAGGGTGGAGGAAATAGAGAGCAATACTGATGAGCAGTTTTTCCCCCGAGGGGCTGAGTTTTAAAGTAAGGGGGTGAAAAGGACCAAGCAGGGGTAATAATGGTTGAGATGAGGTAGTGTTAAGGGGCAGATCTTTACAAACTACAAAGCCCTATGTAAATATGAACTATTATAGACTATACAGCAGATTCACACTTAGAAGATCTTTGGGAAGTGTTACATTTTCCTTACCTGAGGCATAGTTCTACCCTGGAGCTTTTTATGGAAATACATTAATAAAATAAAAGCTGACTTTGTTGGACAGAAAAAAAACCCAAAAGGAAATGGATACATTAAAAATGTAAGTGCTTACAATCTGCAGCACACGTTGAACTCTGCCCACCTCTCTTAAATAGGTCCACCAAAAACCTCAGACTGTCCCCCCCAGGCAGTCCCAGCGGGGTTCTCAGAGATGGCAGCATAACCTTGGCTCTGGGATGGCCTTGGGCTTGGCTTTGCCTTACTAAAAAGGAAAGAAGTTAAAACAATGCAGAGACCTCCCACCGGATCCCACTTCTTCTGTTGGCCACTTCCTTCCTTCCCTCCTTTTTCCTTCCCTTCCTGCAGGAGCTGCTCTGCCCCACCTTCCTTCCTGGGGAGGAGGACCTGCCCTTTCCTCTCTAGGGCTGGTGCCAAAGGGATGAACAATGTGATGTTGAGGGGGGCAGGGGCAGGGGTGAAGGGAGTCCAGAGGTGGGAAGAGGCAGATGGTGCACGAACTAAAGAGTGGCCAAGCGGGGATGGACTGAGAGACGTTCAGCCAAGTTGCATTTCAGAGGTCTCTGGCCAGTTCCCAGAAGTTTCCCTCACTTGGTTTTACAAGCAAAGCGACTGCTAATGGCGGTAGCAACAGAACTCCCCCACTCCCAACTACAGCCCCACCCATGGGACCCAAACAATGTGATTTCGGGGTCGCAGAAAAAGGCGATGTCAGCGAAATACAAAGGGGGCTCAGCCGAGGTAGTCATTTGCAATCTCTCTTCTGCTGCGAGAAAAAAGGTGAAAAGGAAACTGGGAAAGAGGCAAGAGGGTTTCTGGAAATCTTGAAAAGGCTGAGGCCAGAAAGTCGGTTCTGATAGGAAGGGGAGCGGACAAAAGAAAAGGTAACGCGAAGCTGAAAATATGAGGAGACGGGGGCAGTCGCCCTTTTAACAAACGTATTAAGCTACCAAAGTTGATGACAGAGTGGGAGAGGGGCAAGGTCAAACGGAGTCGGTTTTTTAGGACAAAGCTTTGGAGCGAGGGCCAAATTGAAGGTGGCTAGCACAAAAGAGGCGGCTCTCCAGGAGGCCGTTGAGCGGGGTGGAACGAGTGAGAGATGAAGGCGAGAGGGGGAAGAAATCAAAGGGTCCATCGAGTGAGGGGGGGGGAGGCCGCTTTGTCTGGCGAGGGCGGCGGCGGGGGCAGCACGTGCAGCAGACAGCGCCCCAGGCAGCCGGGCTCCCCGCCGAGGAGCGCCGGGGAGGAGGCGCGACGCGCGGGGGCGGCCCGGGCCCCTCCGATTAGCCCGGCCTCTTGCCGGCGGGCCCCGCGCTACAGAAGGAGCGCATTGTTAGGTCCCCGGCCGCAGCAGATTGCCGTTGTCCTGCAATACCCTCGCACCCTGGCACGGCGCCACTGGCACCGCCCGGGGTTGGAAATAGCTGCGCCGTTCCCATGGCGACGAGGCAGCGACTCCGCCCCCGCCCGCTCGCCCGCCCGCGGCGAGCTCCGCCGGCCCCCGCCGCGGCGGCCTCCCCTCCACCTGAGCAACCCCCCGGTAACCCTGGCAACGGCGGCCGCGGCGCGCGGGAGGGGACCCTGAGCGCGGCCCGGCCCCACCTCCGCCCTCGCCGCCCGCGGCGCCCGGCGCTCGGCCGCTGCCCCGGCCGGCACTCGCTCGGCGCCGCGGGAGCCGACGCAGGAAGCCTCCCCTCCGCTCGGCCGGCCCGGTCCGGAAAGGCGGGAGCAGGGGAGGAAGCTCCGCCGCAGCGGCGGAGGTTGCGGGAGAGCCCTGGCCGGTTGCACAGTCTCCCCGGAGCCTCCCCCGGCCTCGCCTGACCTCCCGGCCCCTCGAAAACCTCCCCAGATCTCCCCGCCCGTCTTCCTAGGATGGAAGGAGACCTTGGCTGAGGTTCCTCGGCACGCTCGGCCAGATGAAAGAGGGAGCCGGAAAATAAAGCCCTCTCTGGCCCGAGGGCCGGGGTCGGAGAAACAGGGATGTGCGGGCCGAAGGGACACTGGCCTGGAGGGAAGGACCGGAGCGGGAATCGCCGTCGGGAGCTGGGGTCGTGCTTTCCAGGCAGCCCCCTCCCCAAGTGCACCGCATCTCGTGGGGAAAAAACAACACAAAAACTGCACATTGCTCCATGTTGGGATGACCGCCCTCCCCCTCCCCCCCCCCCCGAGGATTTCGACTGTGCAGGACCCTGGCGCATTTTGTTTGTTGGTGTGGTGAGAAGGGAGCGTTGCAGATCCCCGAAAAGAGTGTCTCCAGCTTCCAGGGTGATTGGGGCCGAACTGAGACATTCCGAGCGCCCAGAGAGCTGCGGGAGGAAAGGGGCAGACCAGAAGAGTTCCATTTATACTGTCCCTCTTAAGGGGTAGTCTATCCCTGGCTTACTTAGAATGTGAGCTCCTGCAGGGTAGAGCCTCTGGCACGTAGAAGGTTCTGAACTAAATTAACGTTTAGTGAATGGATATGGTTAAAACCAGATAATGTTTCCTTCATTCCGTTGTTCTAAGTGGGCAGGGCATCTCAGGGAAACACACTAAGAAAGTAGTCAGGGTCCCCTGAAATTTAGTCTTAAATCAAACGAACATGAATAAAATAATAATTTTCCATTTGTAAAGTCTCTTCCTCTAAGAATGTCACCTCATTCCATATATTCTACTTCAAACTCCGTAAAATTCCAGAACAAGAAAGAAAGATTCATATGAAACGAGTAAGAGTCTGGACTATCTCTGGTCCTAGCAGAGGAGCTAAAGAGGTACACTGTGTTCCTCCTTAGGGCCCTGTGCTTTCTTTGAAGTGGGGATGGGGGTTCCCTTGTATGGTGGAAAGAGTTTGGGAGTGAACAAATGGAGGACCTATTTTAGGCCTAAGTCTCCTCATCTGTGAAATGGTTGTTATGAAGATGGGATGAGATAATTTAGGAGGTATTCTTCAGAAGCCATAGGATACGCCACACACATGCTTCAGTTACTGGGACATCTACAAACCGCTTCACATCCTGTAGCTGCAAAGTGCTTTCCCAAGATTTTGCTGGTTATTTCTCCAAATATCCTAGTGAGATATAGACTACCTCCGTCCAGTCTCCTCTGAATAGGAGGAAATTCAGAGAGAAACTCAGGTGTTTTTTTCAGGACCACTTCTGGATTCTTGACTTAATTTGGCAAACCCCAGAGGACTTCCTTTTTACTTCTTAGCCTAAAAGACAGCTTCAAATACTATATGCTCCAAGGGTAGGAACCAAAACTCAAGCCCAGAAGAGCAGTCCCAATAAGAGACAGGGAATTATAAAAGAATAAATGTTGATACTGGACTAAAGAGACCATCTATTATCCAGAGAGCAAGACAACAGGATGACCGGACTCAGGAGGGTGCCAGATCTGCAAGCTGGGGGACATGGAGGCAGGACTGAAGGGATCTGTGTGCTGTTGAGTCTGCTCTCACATTACTACTGACTGAATTGTGTCCCCTATGGCATTTCCCCCATGCAGACGTTGAAGCCCTAACTCCCAATGTGACTATACCTGGAGAGAGGCTCTTTAGGAGAGGTAATTCAAGGTGAAGTGAGTTCATCAGGGCTGTGGTCCTGGAAGAAAAGGAAAAGAGGGATCTATCCCCACCA